CAGGCCCGTTCCCCCCCTCCCCGCTACCCCTGTCCCCCCCTCGGGGGCTCCGGCACCATCACAGGTTGTCTTTTTGGTTGTCTTTTTGACATGAAGCCGTTGCTAAGAGTTTAAGGTGATGCTTTCTGAACATACAGGCTTTACCTTTTTTTTATAACAAACTTCTGTGGGTGGTATTTTGCATGTGGGCGTTTTCTCCACTTGTCATACCCCAGGACTGGTGACCCGAGCGCTCTGCACATCTCACCCATCCCAGTTCCCAATGGAACTATCAATAGTGCTCGTTTTTGGGGCGATAGGGAATGTTTTTTGACACAAAGGTGGGCGATTCCAGAAGAATCCAGATTTTAAGCCCGCAAAGGGCTGGCTGGGAGAGCCTGCTGGTGTATGTGTGCTGTCCCCCCCGTCCTCTCTGGCTTCCCACTGTAGAAGCAGATCCTCTTTTAGTTTGGTAGAACTGCTTCCTGTCTGAAGTAACTTGGTGGAGGGTGTTTTGGTGCATAATCCACACAGAGCAGAGGAAATTAAAAGAGTAACAGCACATGTCACCCTAGTCAGGCTGATCAGGTAAAAATCCGGATGAAAATCAGTGTGACTTTGCGGGGCAGCCTGGCTTCAGATGGGGAAAAGGTTCTTAGCTTGTTGTCTGGAATCATTTGAGAAATAACTTTAGAAGGTGTAAGTTTTATCTCCCTCGATCAAAACCGCCTGAGGTCAGCGTTGCCATGCTGTTTACAGAACTTGTCAATACCCAGGGAGGAAAATGGGTAAATATAGTTGTCATTTAATCTCTTGCAGGAGGTCAGTGCCTGCACTTACTTCAGACTAATTAGCACGGGATTAATGGATCATCTCTCTAGTATCCAAATAAGCGCAGCAAACTTTGATTGCCCTTGATGATTCATGCTTGACCAGACGGCTGTAGTGTTTTAAAGTCCCAGCTGTACCCCGCAACCGGTTTGGGTCCGGTGCCGTGGGCCCCACCTGGCCCGGTGGCGATTAGTCAGGGGGTGCGGGGGCAGCGCCGCGTGGCGTGGGACGGCTGTGGCCCGGCAGCCACCGCTGCGGCTTCGGGGAGCTGACGTGTCGAGTGGGCCACGGCTGCTCGTGTGCTCTGAGTGCTACTTCTGCTTAAAAATATGCCAGGGTTCCTGTCCTCAGACTGCCAATTTTAATGGGTAATGTCATAGCTGTTGGATGGCTTATAAACCTGGTGTAGAAGGCGCCTTGGATGTGGTCCTGCCTTTAGTTTAGGGTTGTGTTGAAGTTTGTTGCTGCGCCCTGAAGTGTACGAGTTTCATCCTCCCTCAGTTGATCTGCCTCTCTTCTCTCCTGCTATAAACTCTGAATCTCTGACTTAAATGAATACGGGCAGATTGGCACAGTCTTACGATACTAAATTTGCCCAAAGTTCTGTCATTGGTTTATTATTGCATTCTTGTGTTGTAATATTTTTACCCCCTCTCCTTTGCTACTCTACAGCAGAGGGAGGAAGCTTTGATCGCGCTAAGCATTGGCAGATACAGACAAAATCCATGAAAATACACTAATTCAGTTTGCTTTATGTGCGACGGCTGTGATAGATATTTAAAAAAAGGTCTGTTTAATCTTGTTTACGTGGTATTTCAGATCTTAACACTTTGAGGAAGTTAACTAAAGACTTAACTAGTGAATAGCTTGCGTGAGTACTTTTTCAAGCCTAATAATTTCCTCCTCAGAACTGTTCCTGAAGCTCTTGCTTTTGTCCAAATAAATTCTTCTCCACATCCGAGAGGAGTCTATACCTCTCTTTATGCTTTCTCCCTTACTCTTCTTTTTAGAAGAAAACCTGAACCTTTCCTCACTCCTTTCTTCGTGTTGGAATTTTAGATTGGCTGAAATTGTGCTGCAGGGGAAAAGTATTTCACTATTAACAAAAGTGATCCGTTTGTGATGGAAAGGAGATGACAACACTGTTTTAGCTTAGATCCAGCATGGAAATAGGTTTTTAACTTAGTTTAGAGTAAAAATACCCCTTGCCTATTTCCAGATAATATCAATTTTCAGATAAAAATTGGGGATGTATGTCCTAAATATGCCAGGAGTGACGATCGTTAACATCTGGACTTTAAGTCCTGGGTGGAGGGGAGAAGAAAAACTGTGGCTTGTGTGGCTATTGGCTAGTTCTAGAAATGGTGGTATATTTCCAGATAATATCAATTTTCAGATAAAAATTGGGAATGTATGTCCTAAATATGCTGCGGCTATTGGCTAGTTCTAGAAATGGTGGTATGGTAGGAATATCTTTGTTTTTACATTATATAAAAATACTTCATATGTAAATGGTTGCATTCCATCTCGGGACTCTGTAAAGTTCATAACCACAGCCACGAATAAATGTCACTAAAATTTTGAGGATGAATTATGGCCCTAACCTGTATTTGCTTTAGGGAACACATTGTTTTACTGGGAAGTTCTGAGCAGCTGGAAGGCTGTGAGCTCCTTGGAACACCTCCATTTGCAACCCCAGCCAGCTACTTAAGATTTCTTTCTGCCCTGTCAGAAGGATGTTTCAGCTAAAGCACACCTGAAATGATACTGCCCTGAATGATCCCTCCCATCTCATGCATATTTATTTATTTGCCTTCCCCAGGGCCCCCAGCAAGCCTTTTCCAGCCGCCCCGCCGCCCCGGCCTGGGAACTGTTGGGAAACCCATCCGCCTCCTGGCCAATCACTTTCAGGTTCAGATCCCCAAGATTGATGTTTATCACTATGATGTAGATATCAAACCAGAAAAACGCCCCCGAAGAGTGAACAGGTAAGAGTTGATAACAAAAAAGCACCTCCATTTGCAACCCCAGCGAGCTACTTAAGATTTCTTTCTGCCCTGTCAGAAGGATGTTTCAGCTAAAGCACACCTGAAATGATACTGCCCTGAATGATCCCTCCCATCTCATGCATATTTATTTACTTGCTTTAGGGAACACATTGTTTTACTGGGAAGTTCTGAGCAGCTGGAAGGCTGTGAGCTCCTTGGAACACCTCCATTTGCAACCCCAGCCAGCTACTTAAGATTTCTTTCTGCCCTGTCAGAAAGATGTTTTCAGCTAAAGCACACCTGAAATGATACTGCCCTGAATGATCCCTCCCATCTCATGCATATTTATTTGCCTTCCCCAGGGCCCCCAGCAAGCCTTTTCCAGCCGCCCCGCCGCCCCGGCCTGGGAACTGTTGGGAAACCCATCCGCCTCCTGGCCAATCACTTTCAGGTTCAGATCCCCAAGATTGATGTTTATCACTATGATGTAGATATCAAACCAGAAAAACGCCCCCGAAGAGTGAACAGGTAAGAGTTGATAACAAAAATTCAAGAGTATATATATATGCCTCAATTTAAGAAAACTGTTCATCCTGGGAATTCTTCATCTGCTAAAGGCTGGGTTCTGTTTGTACCGTGGTTAACAGTTGTTCTTCAGTGAACTGTAATATAATAGTTTCCTTATTTTTATTAAGATGTTTTGCAATTGGCCTGTAATCTGGAAGGCTCTAGGAAATGTACGAAGCACTGAACCAAGGCTGGTTTTATTTTCCAGTTTACAAGTGAATGTCCCTGATAATTGTTCCCCGGTCTGTTACACGAACACGTGTGAGTGGCTGAGGGACAGCATTCAGTTTGCAGGTTGATGCCAGCATTTCAGGGTCCACACGTTGAGTGATGCACAGAGCACCCTCACCCACCTCAAGACAAAAGTTTGCTCCCATGTTTGAGCATTTCTCCAGATCCCAGTGCCTGTGTAACTGCTGACAGGGTACCTGCCTCATGTGTAGGCACCCATGTGCTGAAACCTCCCTGTCTGAGTCTGGAGTTGACTTTTAAAAGTTCTGGTGGTGACTTGGCTGTTCTCTGGTGCGTTGCTGTTCTGCTGCCTTCTCATTTAAGAAAATGGGAAAAAGGAATTTTAAACTATATAAGACTATTGCTGCATTTTTGTGTTCTTCAACCAAACCCCATAACTCCCTCTGCAGAGAGGTGGTGGACACTATGGTGAGACACTTCAAGATGCAGATATTTGGGGATCGGCAGCCTGGCTACGATGGGAAACGCAACATGTACACTGCACACCCCTTACCTATCGGCCGGGACAGGGTAAGTCTTACTATAAGCAGTTCTAAGCTTTAGTGGGAAAACTCTTCAAGTGTTTGAAAAGTGCTCTTTTAGTGACATAAACCCCAACTAGTCTTGGAAGTGACAGGTAGTGCCAGTCAGGGATCTCTAGGAACTTAATTGGTGCTCTACTGGAGTTTGTAGTCTTGGAGTTTCTGATTCCCAGCTCTTTAGTTGGAGAATGTATCAGTGTGAATTAATACATTGTGCTTTTTCAACTGCAAGTAGATTTTTTTTTTTTTTCACCCCGATAAAAACTTCCTTTTTCTCCGTTCTAACCCTTGTTCTGTTGTTAAATGATAAAGTAGTTGTCGATGACAAAATACACTGTTTTGGTTTAGCTGCGCTGTTGAGATACGTCCTCCTGTTCCACAAGAACGTGTGGCACCAGTACCAGCAACAGCCACACCAGTGGCACTGGCCCTGTGTGTTCTGGGCTCTAACGGATCCCAGTCTGCATTAACCAGTCCTGATACACAGCTTAACCCCTCTGCTCTTCTCCCCAGGGATCTGGTTATTGCTGGTGCGGTGCCACGAGGAATACAAAATTGAGTTCAATTTTATGCTTGGGGCTGGTGCTGTGTGAGAGTAATCACAGAATCATCTAATGGTTTGGGTTGGAACAGACTTTTACAGGTCATCTAGTCTGCCCCCCCTGCAATGATCTCAGCTGCTGTTTCCCAGTGAGCCTTCTTTTTGACCAAAAGGGGTTTTTTTTGCCTTCCATTTGGTTCACAAGACATCTTGATATTAATTGGCTGACTTAAAAAAAAAAAAAAAAAAGTCACGGTTCTCTGGAGCTGTGATGGCACCGTACTAATTATTGCTTAAAACTTACACTTAAAGATACCTCACTGCAGTTTCGCAGATGAATAAATTACAAGCTTTCAAAATCCTAAGGAAATCAATTGTAATGTTTCAAGAGAATTACACAAACTAGGTGTCAAAAGTATAGACTTAAAGGTTACCTAGGAAAAACCCGCAAGGTTGGGATAGTCCACAATCCATAACGAAAGCTTGTGCTTTATTCTGTTTGACCCTCTCAGGTGGACATGGAGGTGACCCTTCCAGGAGAGGGGAAGGACCAGACGTTTAAGGTGTCCATTCAGTGGGTGTCTGTCGTCAGCCTTCAGTTGCTGCTGGAAGCTCTGGCTGGGCACTTGAATGAAGTTCCTGAAGATTCTGTCCAGGCGCTTGACGTAATCACACGGCACCTTCCCTCCATGAGGTGGGTGCTTTGGGTGCCCTCCCCACTGCCGTGGTCCCACCTCTGGCCTAACGTTTGTATTAGTTATTACTTGCTCCTATTCTGCTGCTTTTAGCTTCCCTGCAGCAGAAGGGAGGAGGGATGCAGTTGTGTAATTCAATGCCTGCCTTACGAATTTGCACTAGAATAGGGAAATCTGATCTGAACTCAGGCCCTGTACCTGCTGGTCATGTTTCTACCAGGAATTTGCTGTAGCCTTTCCAGCTGTGCTGTCTGTAAAGCCTTTGTGTGCTTGCCATAAGTTAGCACTAACAGTTCTAACCGACTGTAGAAATTCTTTTAAACACTCTAGGCATGAATGTAAAAAGGTGTATCGGAAAAGAATGATCAAAGTGTTAATTTTCTTATTTTTTTTCAGGTACACTCCTGTGGGTCGCTCCTTCTTCTCCCCTCCTGAAGGTTATTACCACCCCCTGGGAGGTGGCAGGGAGGTCTGGTTCGGTTTCCACCAGTCGGTCAGACCTGCCATGTGGAACATGATGCTCAACATTGATGGTACATAGGAAATTCTGTCTCACTAATGTATCAGAGTTCCCAGAGTTCCTGCTGCTTCTAAATTAGCACTCCTCTTTTTCTTTTTTTTTGATCCCAGTGTCAGCAACTGCTTTCTATCGTGCCCAGCCTATCATCGAGTTCATGTGCGAGGTCTTGGACATTCAGAACATCAATGAACAAACCAAGCCCCTTACGGACTCCCAGCGTGTCAAATTTACCAAAGAAATCAGAGGTAAAGGCTTGTTCTAAAGCTGCTGCAACAAAATACTGGAAACCTGCTCACGTTACACTGTAATGAAAATTTGCAAGGCATTGGGAAGCTGGCACGTTCCCTTTTGCCCTCGTCTTTCCCAAAGGTGACACCTATGCCTGAATTTATTTAGAGGACTTTTGTGTTGGGTTTTCAGGTCTAAAAGTAGAAGTTACCCATTGTGGCCAGATGAAGAGAAAATACCGAGTGTGCAACGTTACTCGGCGACCGGCCAGTCACCAGACGTACGTACACAAGCACTCGCTGACCATTTTAAAAACCTTGAACCTATTAGATATAGTAGGTACATTGTTTGTGCAAGAATAGTTGATTCTGGAGGCGGAGCAGCTGTGTCGCTTTATAGGAATGTTTAGTCTTAGTGGAGAAGAGGAATAATGTGGGTTTAGACCACTTCTTTATTTCCTTCAGCACAGGAAAATTGAAGCTATATCCTGACTTTTTAAATATAATTATTAAAGGCTATAATTTTTAAAATAGCTATGAAAAATTCAGTATATAGTGTATAAAATCTTTTCATAAAGAAGAGATCCAGTGGCTAAGGAAAATAAATGTTTCCAGCATTTCTGGTCTGGAATAGATTTTTCCATACCATTTTTTCCTTAAAAAAATAAAAAAAATCTTGAAAAGTCTAACGAGAACAAACGTCCTTTATAGGTTTCCTCTGCAGCTGGAAAACGGGCAGGCGATGGAGTGCACAGTAGCTCAGTATTTTAAGCAGAAGTACAGTCTGCAGCTAAAATATCCTCACCTTCCCTGTCTCCAAGTAGGACAGGAGCAGAAACACACGTACTTACCGCTTGAGGTGAGAATCTCGCTTTCTCTTGCGCTGTGGTGTATCCTCCATGAAGTGGTACCAGGCCCCCTCTCGTGGTTCTGGGCTCCCCAGTTCCAGAAGGACAGGGAACTGCTGGAGAGGGGACAGCAGAGGCTACAAAGGTGATGAGGGGCCTGGAGCATCTCCCTTACAAGGAAAGGCTGAGTGACTTGGGTTTTTTTAGTCTGGAGAAGAGAAGGCTGAGGGGGGATCTGATCAACACCTATAAATACCTAAAGGGTGGGTGTCAGGAGGATGGGGCCAGTCTTTTTCCAGTGGTGCCCAGGGACAGGACAAGAGGAAATGGGCACAAACTTGAATGTACAAAGTTCCACCTAAACATGGGGAGGAACTTCTTCACTTTGAGATAACAGAGCCCTGGCAGAGGCTGCCCAGGGAGGTGGTGGAGTCTTCTTCTCTGGAGACACTCATCCCCCACCTGGACACGTTCCTGTGGGACCTGCTCTGGGTGGACCTGCTCTGGCAGGGGGTTGGACTAGATGATCTCCAGAGGTCCCTTCTGACCCCATATCATTCTGTGATTCTGTCCCTGGGCAGGTGTGTAACATCGTGGCGGGCCAGCGGTGTATCAAGAAGCTCACGGACAATCAGACCTCGACGATGATAAAAGCAACTGCGCGATCTGCGCCGGACCGGCAGGAAGAAATCAGCAGACTAGTAAGTGTTCTTTCCAGCTGAATAGTTGGCATTTGTCACTTCTTATGGTTCTTCCAGAAGCATTGTAGCATGTTTAGTGAGAAACAGAATGACCAACAACTGCAGAAGTTAAAAAAAATCTGACTTCTTTAAAAGAAATCTTTTTAAATAGAAAGCCTATTCGTGGCAAAGAGGACAGAGCCACCTGAAGCATTCAGGGAACTGGGGTTATTCAGCCTGGAGAAGAGGAGGCTGAGGGGAGACCTTATTGCTCTCTGCAACTCCCTGAAAGGAGGGTGTAGAGAGATGGGGGGCGGTCTCTTTTCTCAAGTCACAGGCGACAGGACAAGAGGAAATGGCCTCAAGTTGCGCCAGGGGAGGCTCAGGCTGGATATTAGGAAAAATTTCTTCACTGAAAGGGTTCTCAGCCATTGGACTGGGCTGCCCAGGGAGGTGGTTGAGGCCCCATCCCTGGAGGTGTTCAAAAGCCGGGTTGATGTAGTGCTGGGAGGTCTGGTTTAGTGATGATGCTCCTTGTTTGTTGTGCAGGTGTCTATTTTTGTCAGTGAGGTTGACGGTTGGACAAGATGATCTTTAAGGTCCCTTCCAACCTAGAAGATTCTGTGATTCTGTGATTCCTTGCAGTTACATGAATATTTTTGTTGTCACCAGGTGAAAAGTAACAGTATGGTGGGTGGACCTGACCCGTATCTGAAGGAGTTTGGAATCGTTGTGCACAATGAAATGACAGAGCTGACGGGCAGAGTTTTGCCAGCACCGATGCTGCAATACGGGGGCAGGGTGAGTTCCACACCTTGTAAATACCTTGTCCTGAGGTTATTTACATTCATTAAGTGCTCCCTGTATCTTCCCATGAGGCTTCCTTTGTACGAGCACCGTGTTGGGAGATAGTCAAGGCAAAGCAGCGTTTTATTTTCAATTTGCCTTTGGATTTTTACCTAGAACAAGACTGTGGCGACACCAAACCAAGGTGTGTGGGACATGAGAGGGAAACAGTTCTATGCTGGCATTGAGATTAAAGTTTGGGCTGTTGCCTGTTTTGCTCCTCAGAAACAATGCAGGGAAGACTTACTAAAGTAAGTATTTTCCTCTTTATTCAGGAAACTTATTCCAAGGTTTATTTTTCTCATGTTTCTGAAAGGTGTTATGCAACAGAAGTTGGTCTTAATGCATCTGAGAGTAAAAAGAGGAAATCATGGTTCTGCAACATCTTAAATATTTTATTTAAATATTTAGGAGGAGACAGGCACTTTGTCACAAATTGGCCACTGAGGAAAAGCGTTAATTCCCTCACCACCGAGGCTGTGTTTCCTGCTCTGGAGGCTGAATTCCACTTGTATTCTGCTGCTTTTACAAATAACTGATGATGGTCGTTTGTTGTAAAATAGAAACTACTTTTTTCTTAACCTTTACTGACACCCAGGTGACATAAACCACATTTGTCCCCTGTCCTTCAAATTACTCTACAGAATCCTAAAGACAGAGGTGGTGAGAACCACTGAAATGTTTGGAAAAATCACAGCTGCAGTGCTCAGATAAGTTTGGTGGAGGAGCAATGGTCTGCCAGAGCATCAGTATTAGTTTGGGGAAATCTGCCTCAATGTTCAACTCAAATGAATGTTTGTTTCCCCAAGACTTCTAAAATTACAGAAACAAGGGCTTATGGAGCTCCTCAGACAGGATTAGAATCCTCTTAGTGAGTTTCTTAGAGTGAGAGGATTGTTAAAAAATAATTACTGTAGTGTCAAGTTGCAAGTGCTGTGAAATGGCCTAGATCTTGTTGATAATATTAACGGCAAAGTGAAACATATGGGAAAAAAGCCAGGACAAATCCATTTATCTTTAATTTTCAGGAGTTTTACGGACCAGCTGCGCAAGATCTCGAAGGACGCGGGGATGCCCATCCAGGGCCAGCCCTGTTTCTGCAAGTACGCCCAGGGGGCAGACAGTGTGGAGCCCATGTTCAAACACTTAAAACTGACATATGTTGGTCTGCAGCTGATCGTGGTGATCCTGCCTGGAAAGACACCCGTGTACGGTACGGAGAAAAGGCTGTCGAGTGTTAGTTATTTGTACGGTGATGGAGCTACTGACTCTTCAGGTCATTGGACCCATTAACTTCTTTTTTTTCTTTTTCCGTCCCAGCTGAGGTGAAGCGGGTTGGTGACACGCTTCTAGGGATGGCCACTCAGTGCGTTCAGGTGAAGAATGTGGTAAAAACCTCACCACAAACACTGTCCAACCTGTGTCTGAAGATAAATGCAAAGCTTGGAGGAATCAACAATGTGCTTGTACCTCATCAAAGGTGAGATTAAATCGAAAGCTCTCCTTGAAGTCTGGCTTGTCAAGCGAAGCGGTGTCGTTTTGTTTTGCTTGATTAAATGGTACCTTTCAAATTATTACGTGCTTTAGAAGTACCCTCAGTCTGAAGTGGACAGAGAAGGATGCTTCTGTGTTCAGACTCTGCTGAGTGAGCCCTGTGCTGAGGCTCATCTCTAGTGTCAGAGCCACCCAGAAGTGGGTGTGAAAACAACCTCACAAAGCCTTTTTTTCCCCCCCATATCTCTCTTTTCCTGCCTTTGGGTTCGCTAAAGTCTTACCTTTTCCTCTTGCCACAAGCATACTGTATTTCCTTCCAACTTGAAAGAAAAAGGAGTAAGGAGGGGTGACTTGTGATAAATGCTTGTAACTTTGTTTGACTTTAATCCTTTCCTTTTCACTTTCTGTTCCCTCAGAACAGTAAGAGCTTGAGGCAGAGAACTTTGTCCCTAGAGATTCTGATGGGTTTTAGTTCAGTGGAATGGTTTGGACATACCCTTCTTGGATGTAATTCTTCATCCTTCCTCGCTGCCCTTGTTTGTGTTACTGTTGTTATTACTTAACATTTAACAAACCTTAATTATATCGAACAGGCCCTCGGTGTTCCAGCAGCCAGTGATCTTTTTGGGAGCAGACGTGACTCACCCTCCTGCTGGGGATGGGAAGAAGCCGTCCATCGCGGCGGTGGTGGGCAGCATGGACGGGCACCCCAGCCGGTACTGTGCCACCGTGCGAGTGCAGACCTCGCGCCAGGAGACCTCCCAGGAGCTGCTCTACAGCCAGGAGGTGATCCAGGACCTCACCAACATGGTGCGAGAACTATTGATCCAGTTCTACAAATCCACTCGTTTCAAGCCCACCAGGATCATTTACTACAGAGGGGGAGTATCGGAAGGGCAGATGAAGCAGGTATCGTCTAATGATTTCTCGTGGCTTGTGAAAATTGGTTGGCCTTGAAAAATATATATCTATTTATGTGGATTGCATTTGCTAAGGGGGTTAACAGTTGCATTGAGTTTTCCTGGGCAAGCACAATGTGCAGTTACCCTGTCTGATCATCTTCCTTATGAAGTGGCATTTGTACGTGGGGGAAAAAAAATTAAAAGTAATGTTATATGTCCTGAATTCAGCACCTTATAGTGAAATCTTCTACTTGTAGGTAGCTTGGCCAGAACTGATAGCGATCCGGAAGGCCTGCATTAGTTTGGAAGAAGATTATAGACCAGGAATAACCTACATTGTTGTGCAGAAAAGGCATCACACCAGGCTATTCTGTGCTGACAAAACTGAAAGGGCAAGTAATGTTGACTCCATAAGAAGGAGGTGATGGCAGCAGGAAAGTAAGATTGTTTGGTTAATTGGGGTGGAATCCATCACGACCACAGAAAGGGAATTAACCTGCAGAAGCAGTAGCAGTTCTGTGCAGTAACAGGCTTTCTCTACCAAAATAACTAGTTCCTCCCCTTTTTTTATTGCTCCAGACCAAGTGGTCAGATGGAACAGCTTGTTCCCAGCCCCTTTTGGAGTGGGTGTACCCTGTATCCCTGTATTTGTGTATCTGGAGCTGCAGCCTGGGTTTTTATAGTCTGGGATTCCTGACTATAAACTGAACTAGCTGTTCAGTTCGTTGCCTGTTCTGTCTCCAGACACATCTGGAAGATTTTCCAATGGCACAAATCCACAAGCTGAGTAAAGAACCTTCTGTAGGAGAGTTCTTGATCTTGGGTTTGCTTCAAAAATACAGATCTCTGGGGTGTGAGTGCAAACCAGAGCATGAAATAAATTTATTTCAGAAAGCCTGCATTTTCAGATGCTGAATTACTTGTGTAGGCTTTATCCCACTCTACAGTTTTAATGGTACTGGCAAGTATTTAATTTTTCTCTGATGACACACCAATTGGATTTGGTGAAGTTTCTAAAAATGGATTCTCGGAGAACATTTTCGTTCCTCCTATGTAAATGACCTTGATATTTTTCCACTTTCTTGAGCAGTAAATGCTCACAGAGCTTTGAGTAGAGTCTACCTTAGGAGGTATTTTTAGGTCGCTTCCAAAAAAAACCCCATGGGCTAATAAAAACCTTCCCTCTCTAGGTGGGTAAGAGCGGGAACGTCCCGGCGGGCACCACTGTGGACAGCACCATCACACATCCTTCTGAATTTGACTTTTACCTCTGTAGCCACGCGGGAATTCAGGTAACGTTTCAGCTCTGCCGTGCCACTAAACCCTTGTGGTTGTCCTGATGAGTAATGCTGCTTCTATTTAAAGCTTTGGCAGATTTAGTCACAGCAGTTGGGTGCCGTTGGGCGCTTACGCTCTGTTGCCCTGGTGGAAGGTACAACCTGCTGGTGCCACCTCTGCCTCTGTGCTCACGCTGCTCTGTCCTCCACAGGGAACCAGCCGGCCCTCCCACTACCAGGTCTTGTGGGATGACAACTGTTTCACTGCAGATGAGCTCCAGCTGCTGACCTACCAGCTGTGTCACACCTACGTCCGCTGTACGCGATCCGTCTCCATTCCAGCTCCTGCCTACTACGCCAGGCTGGTGGCCTTCAGGGCCAGGTACCACCTCGTGGACAAGGATCACGACAGGTAAGGACCCGTGTGCCTCGTCGTCTCGGTGGCTGGATAACAGACCCCAATGCTGCACTGCTTGGCCCAGTTGTTGATGGTTGTGTGTGTGTGTCTGCGTCCTTGCAGCGCTGAAGGCAGCCACGTGTCGGGACAGAGCAACGGCCGCGACCCCCAGGCTCTGGCGAAGGCGGTGCAGATCCACCACGACACTCAGCACACCATGTATTTTGCTTGAGAGCAGCTGGGGAGATGAGGCAAAAACCGACAGCCCACGCAGTCCCGAAGCGTTTGAATTCCGACTGCTTGGCCGGGGCCCCCCTGCCCCCGGCCTGCCCACTACCAGCAGCTCTGAACAGTCGCACTGAATCTGGACTTCACAGCAACGTCTGATGCACCAACACAATTGAGCCATTTGTTTCATTATTTTATGTAATAGAAATTCATAGACTTGTCTTTTCTGATGCATTGGACTGAATTTTTACCTCAAAGCGCAACAGGCCGATCATCCTGAAATTTTTAAAGGACTTGGCACGAAAGGTTTCTATTGAGTATTTTGCTAGCTCTCGTTTTTAAGTTCTCTCCTCATCCCATGAGTTCATCGTGAGGCCGGATCCCCCGTCTCCGTGCGCTGCTTCGTGAGTACGCGTAGTTCGGCAAAATGTTCGACTCCAGTTAAACGTAAGCGTTGAATTGTGTGGGGCCATAGATTTTTTTAAATGGAGATTTTAGACTTCACTACTGTAAATGCCTTTTAACGAACATAACTTTCACAGGTATTGCAGTTTTTTGTCAGTTTGACTGATTCTCTTTTTAATCTCTGCAGACTTCGGCTGCGAAGCAATTGCACTATTCTGCAAGTTCAAATAGGTGGTTCTTGTTCTGTGAATGTGTAATATAACCAGATAGTGATGCCTGTCAGTAGATTTTAATTATAATGGTTACAAATAATACTGCCATGGTATCGTAACAAGTACTGAACCATCATTTCCCCCCTCTAAAAATGATAAAAACAAAAAAAAAAAAAATTAGCTTTTAGGTATTTTGCAAACTTTTACAAAAGTGCCCACTTTATGCTGCTGTGTGGTTTGATAAATCTAAGTGATTTTAAAACTTTTTTCTCATAGAAGGTTTAACTTTGGCAATAAATATTTGTTTTTTAAGCCCCCCCAACAGTGTAATTTTCTAGCTGAGGATTGTGCATGAGTTAAACCAACATTCTCGTGTCGTTTTCTGAACAATTTGGCAGTTTCTGAAACTAATTAGAAAAGACGCACTTCCATGCTTTTTTTAAGAATTATTTTTAACTGTTTTATATTCACTGTTGGTGTCCTGTCTACAACATATTTTATAAGCTTGGAAACTGGGTGTTATGTGTAGGAAAGGCTTCCCAGCCTGTGGGGTCTAAGCGTACTGTGTGACAGGCAACCCGAGGACTCCTACCAGCATTTGAACCTTTTTTTCCCCTGGGGATCTGGGTTGCACACACAACTGCATCCAACAGCATCCTGAACCGACGTCCAGCTCAGACTCTGAGTCTGTCCCAGCCTAGAAATTAGGGTTGTTTCTTTTTTTTTTTTTTTAATCTGCTTGGCTTTTTTCCGGCCGCAAAGTGTGATAGAGACGAGGGGCTTGGTTTCACCCAGTGCTTGTGGAATCCAGGAACGGAGCAGGTTTAAGAGTAGATTCCTCGTAGTGTTACCCTGAGTTAGTGCAGATTTAAAGCTTATTCCCAAACGGAGCGGAGCCGAGAGCACTCACTCTGAGGGGTGCCAGGATTGCACTGTGCTCTCCGATGCCCGGGTGGGCTTTGCTGCTGCGTTGTCCGCTGTTCCAAAGCCCCCTCAGAACTTCAGCAATAGGAAATGCTGTTTCCTTCAGTCTTTAAGCTTGTAAATAAATTAAAGTTTACATTTCTAAATGCTGGGGTTGTTTTTTCAGTCGTACCAGAGTACACTGAATTAAGTCTTCAAACAGTTTTATAACCTCCTCTCAAGTAGTATGTTGCATTAAATTAAGTTTAAACTTTTTTCTGTTGACAATGAGACTGAAGCGAGCTCTGCTCCTGGCATGTACTGTGGACAGGTTTAGACTGAAAAAAGAAAAAAAAAAAAGGTTCTTTTTAGGTGGTTTTTTTTTTTAATTTTTTTTTAAAGAATACCTCACTTGTGTAATCAAATCAGGACATGTGGGTGGGAGACTGACCGCTGCTTCAGCTCGATGGCTGCTTTTCTCAGTACTCGTTCAGGGAGAAGACAAAAAAAGAAAAAAAAAAACTTTTTAGAAGGAACTCTGACTGACCCAACACACGGAGAACTTCGGCACCTTGAAAAGAGCACCCTTTTTTTTAATTATTATTTTTAGGTTATAGGATCAAAGATCGCTATTTTGAGTTTGTGCACTAGGCGAGAATGTGACTGGTTTCATGGAGGGTGCGTTAAGAGAACAGTTCATTTTCTCCCCGGTGAGTTAGTTGTCCAGTGCCAAGCACTCCTAGTTCAGACTGAGTGAAGTGAGAGCCTCTCCTTTGTTTGCCTGGGACCGGACGGAGTATTTACCCTCGGACTGTGCGGAGCGAGACCTTGGCTGGCCCCGGGACGCGGGGCCCCGACTGTGGCTCCATCTCCTGCTGGAAGGCGGTGGGAGGGGACCACTGGGATCCCCTGGCACCACTGGGATCCCCTGGCACCACTGGGATCCCCTGGCACCACCGGGACCTGGCTCCAGGCAGCGTTGTCCTCCCCACGGCCCAGTCCCGGAACTGGACGGGGCCGGAGGGACCCCCCGGGACTGACCGAATCGTGATGCATGTGTCAATCAATGGGAAGATGTGCATTCTGTAGATGTAGTTCTTTAGGGTGTTTTGGGTTTGTTTTTTTCGTTTTTGGGTTTGTTTTTGTTTGGGTTTTTTGTTTTGTTTTTTTTTTTTAATATATATAAATAAAGCCTGTTGGCCACTGTTTAGCTATGTGGTGTGAAAGATTTTTAAATGTAGCAAAGTTTAAAGAGTTGGGGAAAGGGGATGGTTGACATTTTAAACAAAAAAAAAAAAAAAAAAAAAAAAAAAAAAGGAGAAAACACCATTCCAGCTACATTCTGGCCACAGAGTGACAAGGGAGTTGAGGATATTCATAGGACCAGCATTGTCCTTTGCTTCATTGTTTAAGAGAATGTCTCTTTGAGGAGTGTATCTACAAGAAAGGGTGAAGTAGCCCCTGTCCCTCAAATCAAATAGGAGACCAATGATTTTCCTGCTTCAGCTTGGGTTGTGTACTAATCATGGCAGACTTTCCAAATGGAAGATACTGGATATATGCAAAATCTTACCACAATTAAGTAAGGTTTTTTGAAAAAAAAAAAAAAAAAAAAAAAAAGAAAAAAGGGCAGAAATCCCATTTTTCCACCCAGTTCTGCTTGCTTTGTGACCAGCTGAATCCTGCCCAAGCTGTGGCAATCAGTAGTTAGCCTGTCTCGGCCATCGGAACAGCCTGGCTTCCGTATTCCCCTTGTGAGCACCACAGTCCCGTCTCGTGCCTGTAGCTGCATCCAAAGGGCACAAGCCGTGGCCGTGTCCAGGCACAAACTCCTTCCCCTGTCGCCTCTCGGAGCTGCCCGGCCCCGGGGAAGGGTGTCCCGTGTCCCCCCCCCCCCCCCCCCC